CCCGTGATCTTGAGACGACAAGGCAAGAGCCTAAGGAGAGTTTTTCTGATTTCGTAGCCCGCTGGAGGGCTAAGGCCTCAATGATGACCCTTAGGCCCACTGACAAAGATCAAATTCGGATGATTATGCGCAATCTCCAGCCCAAGCTTATGCAGAAAATGATCGTTCTCCCCTTCCCCACCTTTTCAGAATTACATGAGATGGGAGTATAGATCGAGGAGTCTATACTTGTATGCTGTGCGCATCACATAGTAAATCTAGGCTAATAACCGGAATAAGAACGCATAATGTTTTCAAAAATAGATATCATAGTTAGTAGAGGCCGATCTTTGATCGAGCGAGCGGGGGTGCTCACGAAGTGACCTTTCCCAATCGTACCCAAGTTCCCGAGTTGAGGCAACTTTGATGATAACGGACACGTGGCCTTAGGCAAACGAGTCAGGGTTTCCTAAATTTCTCCAAAATAAAACATTTAGGTGGCGACTCTGTATCTGGCAAAACAGTCCATGTTTGGCACTTCTTTCAAAATCTGTTTTCTCAAAACGATTTGTCGGATTTGGACTCTTTGATTCAGATTTAGAACCGGGACAATTTTAGAGCCCTGAACTGTAGTGAGCCCAATACGAACAGAACGGGACTCATCCCTCCCGGGGCGTTCGGGGACGTCTACACTTGCAGGAGTATTTCTTTTCCCTTTCGCCCCAGCTTCAACCCTAGGTTTAGCACTTTCCATTGAGGAATTAGCCTCCATGTCAATACCAACTGAATGGATGGGACCTACGAATGGCCGCATGCCAAGGCTCTGAACCGAATCAGAAGAGCACTCATTATCTTCGACAGTCCTCTCCCCCGGTGTCCAATGATGTTTGCCGGTTACAACAGCCCCTATGAAGACAATCTCCATCAAATCCTGATGCTCTAAAGTTTTATTCTTGAACTTTGCACAACTGTTGTTTATTTGCAGCATAGGGAACACAAAACAATTAGTAAAAATATGTTACCAAATAAAAATGAAATCAATGGAGAAAAAAGAAAAAGAAAAAAGAGTAAATACTTTACCAGTTCCATCCGATCCCACTATTCATCAGAAGCCTGAAACATGTCTGTTTTTGCATCAAATCCAATCCCAGTAATTCCTTTGGAGGTCCATCAACTTCATCCATGTAGTCCGATCTCGTTTCATGCTTGTGTACTTGTTCTTCAATTGCTTGACATCACGTTTTCTACCTTTTTTTTTTTTTTTTCAAACTTCTTCGCCAACAAATTGTACCTAGTGCTACTCAAAACCATGAATGGCCGATTTCCCAAGAATCTCATCAGCAATAAGCTTTAAGAAAATCCTTGTGGATTCAGTATCCCACATGGCTTTGTGAACATTTTGGGTGTCCTCAATAACGATTGCTCCACCCCTTGCAATCTTTTTATTTTTGGAAGGGATACGTGGTGAAGCTCGTGTGTAAGCCATAACGACAATGCAACTGATAAATTAAAGTGTAAGTACCTTATACATGTATGCGTATTACTCACCCAAACCAATTTGTGCAATAAAATAGATTAGGTATTATGACATTCTATAAAAAAAAATTACGAGAAAGTAAAGAGAAACATTTATCTAGATCCAAACCACAATTCCATTACATGTCATGCACAAAGCTATTGCTATCAAGTCCACAACAAACATAAGTCATTACAATACTAGCTTTGTTAAGGTGCTACAAGACACTTGGAACATTTTCACATATGCAACAATAAGATTACAACAACAATGCATGGAAACAATGGTTTTCAATATACGCAATGTTTGTTGAATGTGAATGACATTATCCCGCAAATACATGACAATGTCGTGTGTGGCGGAGTCATAGTTAGTGTTCGGTCACCTAGGTTCGTTGCACCAACCAATCTAACTTAAACGGCTAACGAAATTTATTTACAACGATATTAGTTAATTGGTTTAAATGAAATGAAATTTATAACTGAAAATGAAAGGTCTACTCACCACAGGATTCGGACAAGTGTAGCACGTCCTAGATTTTTATGAGATCTGGAAATCTTGACAAGACATTGACCATAGCCACAGGCACATGTTCGACGTGGCCATGTAGAAGATGTGCCAGTTGATATAAAAGAAGCCATGCTTTGTGAAAAATCTAGAAATCCCCTAGATGTTGATTTGTGATTATGTATCAATTTTAAGCGGTAAACAACAATCCCAATCAAACAATCAAGATAAATTGACACAATGATTTTACGTGAAAAAAACCACAATTGGACACCTCCAATTGTGATAAAAAAACAACGGGCAACAGCCACAAAACAATCCACTAAGAAGATATAAAGGAATTACATAAGTATACTCTCAATTACCTAGCGAAACCACACCCGAATTGAACCAACTTCTATGTGCCTCTTCCAACCCCGTCTTCACCTCGGAATTGTCTTGACGATGAGCCACTCCGGAATCCACCAAAGCTTCAGGCTCGAATTCTTCAGAATCCACCGAAGAACAACTCTCTCTTTTGTGTAGAACAAACAAATAATCCTTTGATGTGTACTCTTTAAACCATGAGTTGAATACTCAATCAAAACATCAAAGAAAACTAGCAAAATATCCCCAGATATAAACCCTAGAACCCAAGAAGAAGATCTGGAGAAGTAATCCTAAAATCTGACAGAAACCCGTACTTATAGAAATCTGAATTGCGAAGCTCACTTGAGCGAAGACTCTCTCGCTCGAGCGAGGAACCAAAAACGCGTGTTTTCCATAGGTGGCTTTGCTCGAGCTACGCAAGCTTCGCTCGAGTGCACATTCATCTCTTTTAGGTTTTTGGCTAGACACAGTCTTCGCGCGAGCTGATCGGACAGCTCGATCCCCGTCATAATCAGCGAAGTGGCAATCTTAAAAGTATTAACATCACAAACTTCTCTGCAAGGCACAATTCGGGTTGGATTCGCATCTAAAAACTCATCGCCTCACTGAAATAAAAAGTGCAAAAATAAGTACAACTGAAAGGAGTTTTGTCAAACGGGATTGCCTAGAATACAAACCTAACAAACTCCCCCTTTGGCAATGCCGTGACAAAACACACCTAACAAATAAAATCCTAAACACCCCAACCCATTACAACCAACAAAAGCAAACTTCTTTCTCGAGGTCATGATCTGCAAAACAGCTATTAGTGCCACACTCTCCAAAACAACTATTAGTCCCACAAGAGTATAGAAAAAAAACAATAAACATATGACAAGATTATCTTGAAGCATAAGATAGAAAACATAAATAGATGCGACTTGGAGATTTTAAGAACATGTAGCATGGATAAATGAAAACACATGACATGAATACATGAAATCCTAAGACACATGAAAAACAACTTTCTTCCCTTTTTTGTCACGAACTGACAAAGGAAGCTCAAACAACAAAAGTAAGATCATAAACCACATAAGTAATGATATGATGATGTAATATCAGGAACATGCAAGAAGGAAATAATGAACAAACAGTGCATAGCAACATGCAAAACAACTATAGCCAATCTCCCTTACCAAACAAAACAAAGTGTTCATGCTAACAAACTCTTGTAATGATAAACCAAATTCTCCCTTACTAAAAACAATGAACAAGAAGAAAACGACAAAAATAATATGGTGGAGCAAGCAAGAAATTTTAGATTTGTACCTTGAAACACACAAGATTATCTAAGAAGCACAATTACTAGAAAACACAATGTGCACAATCTATAGAAGATTCCTCATGAAAGAAAGTGATGCATTATGTGAAAAGCATAGATCCCATGATAAAAGTGTGTGCGTGACTCTTGGAGTTCGACAAATACTAGATTCAAATCCTAGTAGTGATCAGATAGCTGAACCTCCGTCAAGGGAATCTAAGCACAACTGCGGAAAGTCAAACCACTAAGAATCAAAGGGTATTTGGTGAGTAAAAGCGGAGGCTTCCCCTCAATCAATGAATCCTTTTTTTTTTTTTCTTTTGCACATTTTTTTTCTTTCTTTTGCATATTTTTTTTTTCTTTTTCTTTTCCTTTTTCTTTTTCTTTTGCACACTCATTGGTGGCTGACACGCTCAAGAGTATGGAAACCAAACCAGAGAAGCATGGATATAATAAGGATGGCCTAGTTGGTGATTCTGAGGTAGCCTTTTCCTCATGCCTGGACTACAAAGAACAGAGGGAAAAGCCGTGGAGATGCAAAAAGATGGAAAGTGGTTTAAGATACTCAACATCACCCATGATATGCTAGTATAGGTCAATTCCTCTAGAAATGCAAAAGATCAATGACAGAAGTCCATAGAGAAAAAATAATCACTAAGACGGAAAACTCCAAAATTTGCTAATCCAAGAGTGTGTACAGAATGAGACATACTAATTAAAGAACACACACTCCAAAATGAGTAATGACCATAGAAAGTACACACATATTAACATGTAATGGATATTCTCAATAATTTCAATATGCACTGAGGACCACTCAAAAAATTTTAAGCTTGCAAAACCATACTAAGAAAATCTTTTTGGTTTTTTTTATTTATTATTTTTTTCTTTTTCTAAACAAAGAAAGATAGAAAACGAACAAGCACACATTACATGACTCAAAAAAAAAAAAAAAAAAAAACACACAAAAACCCAAAAACACAAGTCAAGTTTTCTCACCCAAACCCGCTTTAGTATAAAAAAAATTGTGAGAATTGCAGTTCTTAGGTGGTGTCTTGACATTGCGGTCCCCTTTCCCTTCAATGGGATCCCGTCTCGACTTGGTTTCCAACTTCCTATGTCTAGGTCTAGGCAAATACAAACTCGCTCCAAGTTTGGTCTTAAGCAAATCAAAATAGCAAGGTTTATTATGACCCTTAACCTCCTTACGACCAATGAAGTGTCTCCTACCCCATGAGATGTTAGAATTTCTTCCATCTCTATGAGACACGATCCCATGCAACTTATAACAATAAGGGTGAATATGACCATACATACCACAATGATGACAAATAAAAACAGGGTGTACAGGACGTACCTCCTTTTCTTTGACCTTACCAACTCTAGGAAGATTGAGAAGTACATCCTCATGTTGAATTTTTTGTTCTCCCTTTCCTTGAGTTCTTGTATCATGAGATGTGGAAGCACTCTGTTTTTGCTCTTTCTTACCACCAAAGCCAATGCCACTCTTGTCAGAACAAATTTGTTGAGACCTAATGATATTGTCCAAAATCTTTGATCCCCTATTCCAAAGACCAATGGTAGCCATAGCACACTTGAGCTCTTCCTCTTTTTTGATCATTAGTTCTTCCAAAGCAACTTGAGACATCTCGAGAGTTTCAATTTTTTCTTCATGTGTTGCATAGATTTGTTGTAGCTCATTCCTCTCTGTCTCACAAGTCAAGAGTTTTGCATAAATAGCTTGTCGATCATTAGAAATCTTAAGGGCATCATTCCTAGCCTTGGAAATCTCTTTCTTTAATTTGACATTCTCATTTTCACATGCTTTGAGTTTCATAGTGAGTTTTTCATTCAATTTGGATAAGTTAAGAGATTCCTTATACAACTTTTCATAAACTTGCTCAAAGTCTTCATTATCACTTCCCGAGGATTCATCATCAGTGGCATTCTCAACCGGCCTCTTCGGATACTCTGTTCGTCCTTTAGTTTCAAAAGCCGCCATGAAAGCAAGGAATTGTTTATGTCCCTCTTCACCTTGATCTTCATTGTCACTTTCATCTTTATCAGATTCTGATTCATCATCCCAAGTGATAGCGAGGGCTTTCTTCTTCCTCAACCGAGTGGGGCATTCTTGAGCAAAGTGGCCAAATCCTTGGCATTCATAGCATTGGACTCTTTCAGAGTTCCCTTGTATCTTTCCTTTCTCTTTCTTGACTATAGAATTAATTTTGAGTTTATCTTTGCCTTTGGATTTATGAGTATGAGTAGAGTCCAAAAGATTAGGATTCTTTTTCAAAAAAGATTTTTTAAATTATTTTATAAAAGCATCCGTAATCTTGGAATCTATCTCACAATCCTTATCAGAATCCTCTTCAACTTTATGAGCACTACTATAAGCAATAGTATCTTTTTGTTTCTTTTTGAAATTCCTACGTGCTTCATAAGTTTGGAGATTTCCAACCAAGTGATCCAGCTTGAGGTTGTCAATATCTTGAGCTTCCTCAATAGCCGTAACTTTTGGTTGAAACCGATCGGGCAAGGATCTCAAAAATTTTCCCATAACTTTGGATTCTGGTATTTTATCACCTAAATTGAAGCCGGAATTTACAATGTCACTCAACTTCGCATAAAATTCATCAAAGGTCTCACTATCTTTCATTGAAAGGTTTTCGAAACTAGGCGTGAGCCTTTGAAGTTTTGAGCGTTTAACAGAAGGAGTGCCCTCATGAATAGTTTGCAAGATATCCCAAGCCTCTTTTGCGACTTCACAATTACAAATACGACTAAACTCTTCAGGTGTGACAGCGCAAAAGAGAGAATTGATAGCTTTACCATTCTAGCTACTATTTTGGTAATCAATTGTGTCCCACTTATCAATTGGTTTGGGGAAAGTTACTTCATCAACGGTAATTGTTAGTTCGGTCCATCCATTCATGATAGATTGCCAAACTTTTTCATCTATAGATTTCAAAAACGATCTCATCCGAGCTTTCCAAAAAGAATAATTGGATCCGTCAAGTAAGGGTGGTCGAACCATAGAATTTCCCTCACGAATTGAATCCATTATCACAAATCAAACAAGATCTCGCTCAAAAGTTTTAAAAAGCAAACGAGCAACCCGCTCTGATACCAATTGAAAAATCTAGAAATCCCCTAGATGTTGATTTGTGATTATGTATCAATTTTAAGTAGTAAACAACAATCCCAATTAAACAATCAAGACAAATTGACACAACGATTTTACGTGAAAAAATCACAATTGGACACCTCCAATTGTGATAAAAAAAACCACAGGCAACAGCCACAAAACAATCCACTAAGAAGATATAAAGGAATTACACAAGTATACTCTCAATTACCTAGCGAATCCACGCCCGAATTGAACCAACCTCTATGTGCCTCTTCCAATCCCGTCTTCACCTCGGAATTGTCTTGACGATGAGCCACTCCAGAATCCACCAAAGCTTCAGGCTCGAATTCTTCAGAATCCACCAAAGAACAACTCTCTCTTTTGTGTAGAACAAACAAATAATCCTTTGATGTGTACTTTTTAAACTATGAGTTGAATACTCAATCAAAACATCAAAGAAAACTAGCAAAATATCCCCAAATATAAACCCTAGAACCCAAGAAGAAGATCTGGAGAAGTAATCCTAAAATCTGACAGAAACTCGTACTTATAGAAATCTGAATCGCGAAGCTCGGTTGAGCGAAGACTCTCTCGCTCGAGCGAGGAACCAAAAACGCGTGTTTTCCATAAGTAGCTTCGCTTGAGCCATGCAAGCTTCGCTCGAGCACACATTCAACTCTTTCAGGTTTTTTGCCAGACGCAGTTTTTGCGCGAGCTGACCGGGCAGCTCGATCTCCGTCATAATCAGCGAAGTGGCAATCTTGAAAGTATTAACATCACAAACTTCTCTGCAAGGCACAATTCGGGTTGGATTCGCATCTAAAAACTCATCGCTTCACTGAAATAAAAAGTGCAAAAATAAGTACAACTAAAAGGAGTTTTGTCAAACGGGATTGCCAAGAATACAAACCTAACACTTTGTTTTTTATCGTACAAGAATAAAAGAAGGAGACATAGTGTAAGACAATGTGTTTTGGTTTTCTAATTGTCAACGTTGTTCAATAAAAGTGTGCAAGGTAACATTGGTTTCAAGCGTTTGATAATTTGTGGTTGTCTTTCGCAAAATGTCCCTCAAGTTGGAAAAGTTATCAAATGAAAATTTGATTATAATGTAATCCATCAAGATACAACCTTGAAACATAAAGAATGTAACCAGAAAGTGAAGAAAAGTATGAATGTTCCGAACTCGTAAGAACAAACTAATGTCAAAAGTGGAAAAAAAAAATACGACAATCACAAACAATTACAAATAGAAACCTAGAAGAGACAATAGATAAATTGATTTGATGTTTGGAATGGACAGCAATGAAGCAATAAATTAATCTCCAAAACCATATTTTTGATGTGTCAATGGCAAGAAAATTAGTGTCACAGTTACATCCCCAAAAAATATATAACATAAAGCCAACTAGTATAAATCCCAGTAAAAATGTAAATAGAGAGAAGGAACAAAATTCTAAAAAAAGATCATCTACCATCCAAAAGCAAATCACCCAGCACACATTAATTCAAAAGAAATCATCCACCATCCACCATGTAAATTTTATGTATGTGTATATTAACAAGTGATTAATTCAAAGTTGGTTAGTAAGAAAATAAATAACAAACCCAATATGTTCTTATTACAAAATTTCAATCTGGAATGATATATACAGAATAAGGGTTAAACAAAAAAACAAGAACCAACTGATTTTACAAAAAAACTCCAATCCATTCATAACATTTATATCAAAATCATTGTACAAAATTCCCCCATCATCCTAAATTTCCCTTTTCTGTAAATTTGATTGATACAAAATTTCATCAAATTCAATTTGATGAAGAATTGTTGTTCACTTTTTCTCAATACATGCCAAAATTCATCACCAATCCTTTAATCAAATCAAGGGCCAGTCATTTTTCCCTCAAATTGACAACCGATCCATTTTGATGAAAAGAAGAAAGTATTTCCTTAATTTGGAAGCAACCATTTTGTGGACAATAGGTCCAATAAGTTTAAAAAAAAAAAATGGTAACAAATTTTTTATATAAAAAAAACAGTATTTGTTGTTGGTAATTCGTTGAGTTCATCAAGAAGAAAAACGAAAGTGAATACAAAAAAGAAGAAAGTATTTCCTCAATTTGGAAGCAAATCCCATTTTATGGACAGTAGGTCCAGCGAGTTAAAAATAAAAAATAAATAAAAAAATTGGTTACAGATTTAAAACAAAAACAAATAAAAATAAATAAATAAAATAAAAACAGTATTTGTTGTTGGTATGCTATTTTGCGTTGAGTTCATCAAGAAAAAAAACGAAAGTGAATATAAAAAAGAAGAAAGTATTTCCTCAATTTGGAAGCAAATCTCATTTTATGGACAGTAGGTTCAGTGAGTTAAAAAAAAGAAAAATGGTAACAGATTTAAAACAAAAACAAATAAAATAGATAAATAAAAGACAAAAACAGTATTGGTTGTTGGTATGATGTTCTTTGTTGAGTTTGTAAAGAAGAAAAACAAAAGTGATTACAAATATATATATATATATATATATGTCGTTCCCATAATCAAAGTTCACACAATCTATATAGAGAAATTCGGGTTCAAACCCCCATTCACACCAACAAAAGCATTTTAGCACTGATCGAACAAAACAACGACGGATTTTAAACATACACACAACAGACAAGATCTGGTGCAAGGAGAGGAAAACCCCAAAATACACTACAACAAAAAGCATTTTTGGCGACACTTTTTAGCAACCAAACAAAAATTTAGTTGCCAAAGATACATAATTGGCGACAGAATATTTGTGGTCACTAAAAAATAAACTTTTGGCAACGAATTTATAATTTTGGTCGCTATTGATTTTAGCGCCAAGTGAATTTCTTGCGCGGGAGCGCGAAAAACTTTTCAGCGACCAAATTAATTTATAGCAACGGAAAATTTAGTCCCCAATTGTATTTGTTTGGCGATAAACATTATTTGGTCGCTAAAAATCTGAATAACATTTATGGCAACCAAATTAATTTGGTTGCCAATAAATTATTTGTCTTTACCCTAATTTTTTATTGCCAAAAATTGTTGACACGTGAATAAACAAACAATTGACCTAACTTCTTCTCATTTTCTCATCCAGCTGAAACGACACAGCACAGCACAGATCAGGTATGTTCTTCTATTTTAATTTAGGAATTTTGCATTCGATATTTGTACTACGAATTTGAAATTTCTGATTTGAAATTTATAAAAACCTTAGAGCTTGAAGGGTAAGGGTTTTCTCTCTGCATTCAAAATTTGTATTATAGATTAAAATCCTCGTAGAATAATAACCCTTCTCTATTTGTTGTTCTGTTTAGCCATTTATTGCTATGTTTTTGTCTAAATTTTTGTAGTCTATCTATAAAAATAAAGCAATCTCAGTTTTTCTCTTTATTGATCTGTTTTTTTTTTTTTTTTTTTTTTTTTTTTTTTGTGATCTTTTTGACCTTTGAACATTTCATTTGTGCTAGAAGCAACTTAGTTTCCCTTTTTCTGTTTTTTGTTTCAGTTTCATATCTTTGATCTTTTTTTCTTTCCTTTTTTTTGTTTGTTTGTTTTGTTTTGTTTGTTTGTATCTTCATCGCCGTAATTGATTGATAGACTTGATGATGATGAAACAAAGGAGGAGATCTATGTGCAGATTTGTTCGACAATTTAGCCCTCTAAAGTCAGATCTCTGTATCTCTCTCTATTTTCCTTCCATTCCATATATTCGATTTCCAGATTTTTTTAAATTTCTTTTGGTTTTGTCTTCAGCCCTTTAGTCAAGTCATAGAGACGATGATGACGGAGTTAAAGAGATCTATACGTAGGTTTTTGGCTCAAACCCAAATTATAAACATTCATATCTATCACATTTGGTGTTGTTCTATACGCAGGTTTTTGGCTCAAACCCAAATTATAAACATTCATATCTATCACAGTTGATGTCGTTTCGTTCATCGATTCACATATAAATCTAGCAAAATCCAAGGTTCTGACTGAGATCTTTGTCTGTCCTTACCTTTTTTTACATACATGGCCTATTTCATCACTTTTCTTTCCAATTTTGTGATCTAATCAAATCTAATTTTCTAATTTTGTTTATTCAATCAGATCTAATTCTTTGTTGTTTGTTGAGAAACTATACTATTTGTAAAACATTTTTTTACTAGAGCTCCTCTCCCCACTCCAATCCCCAATGAGGACAGCCCTCATGTCCCCATGCCATTTTGATAGGGTTTCTAGAAGGTGCTGAGTAAATAGATTATAGTTTGGGGAGGATGTTTTGATGTATATTTTTCTTATGTTTGTAGTTCTGTATATCAATGCAAGCAGGAAAATCTACATGATTTGTTAAGAATTACTAGAAGTAAATAATCTTTGTAAAATATCAAAAATTAAGGATGGATTGAATTAATGTTTCTATGAATGAAGTTGGCTATGTACCTTAATATCGATTCTCTGTGTGTGTTGTACATGGGCACTTTGGAACATGTTAATCTATGCAAGTTTGATTTGATAAAGAAATTTTTGGTTTGACACTGATATGATATTCCGAGCAATGGAAACTTTCTTCTCTTTGTGATCTTGAATTTTAGTTTTATATTTGGTTGTTGCCATTTCACGGTATCTTCTCCACAACATTTATGGCCTCTTCATGTTACCTTGGTTGCTGTACTGGCTATTTTGTGGATCAGAATCAGATTACCATGTTTTGAATTATATGTATATATTCTGCATAGAAACTCTAGTGCCCGTAAATTAAATTGGAAATGTGTACATAATATAAAAGGATATTGTGTTTTGTTTACCAAAAATTCAAAGTAAGAAGGAAAAAACTTGCTATTCAAGAACCTATTTTTGTAAATATCATTTTTTGTTTAATTTTGTTCTCGAAAATCTTATTTATCTGAATATATGGTTTGCCAATCATGTCTATTTTTGTCATGGAATATGTAGTCTTGTAAAATGGGCCAAGTTGGTGTTCCTTAAATTGATGCTGTTTTATTACCCTTTTTAAAAAAATAAATAAAATAATAATAATAATAATAATAATTTGCAGACTATATATCACTAGATGAGCTATTTTTCTTCCTCCTTGTTTTTTCAATTTTCTTTTAACTCTAGCAACATTCAATTAGAGATGAAAGTATGCCAATTTCCACAAGCTAGTGAAAATCCATTAGAAATTCTTGCTCTCTGTTTCAATCAATGTGTGTTGCCTCAGTCCCTTAATACTAAATTCTTACTCTGTTACAAGTGACAATCTCAATTACTAATCTTGGTGGCACAAAAATTGATTTGAAAATTGCTAGTAATGATATCTATATGTCATTGTTGCTGAGTTGCCTCATATGCTTACATAATTTGAATAATTTCTAAACAGAAGCTTTGTTTTTGGGGCTTGCTAATAGCCCTTTAAAGGGCTTGAATAATTTGGATACATGCTACTGATTGTGATTTTGAGCAAGTCTCCATGACCATGAGTGCTTTCTGTATTAGTAACTGACCATAGAAAAACTGTTTAAAGCATTTTAAAAAGTTTAGTTTTTGTGTAACTCCCTGTTGGATTTTAGTATTGTGGTAAGTAAGTAGTAGGTAACCACTTGGTTGAAATGGAGACATAAAAGATGATCCTTTTGTCAAATTTTCACTAAGCTTTCTAGGTTCCAGTAACGTATACCAAATCTTTTGAAGGTTGTAAAAACTTGAACTAATTTTAACTTCTAATAAATCACAACAGTGGAAGAGATGCCCAACTTAGCTGCATCATATTTATTATTATGTGATAGTTCATAGAAAAATTTATAAATTCTCAATGTAATTGGAATGAATATATAGCGTGATCCACTGTTTGAATTGAACCTTTGCTCCATGGAATTCATTACACTGGAGTCAGAGAGGAGTTGTGCAGTTTTATCCAGTAGAGTTGGAGCAGGAGGTTTACAAGAGTACTCTTCAATGCAGTTAAACATTCTCAGAGGCATCTTCTGTTTGTTGTTTTTTTTTTTGGGTGAGCTACCTCTTTAGTTCTAGTTCATGAATATGCGTTCAAATCAAACATTGACAGTCTCACATATGCACGTATCGAGGGGGATTTTTTTTTCTTCTTATTTTAGCTAATTTTTTGTATAAATAACTGTTTGTTTACTTTTTAACAGACCATTAAACTTGCACATGTTGAGACTGCATCGAGTTTGTGGTCATCTCTCTCTCTCTCTCTCTCTCTCTCTCTCTCTCTCTCTTAATTTGGTATGCAACTTATGCATTATGATCATTAGCCTTTCTGGCCACGCTAATATTCTCTGTCGTGTTCTATGAAATAGTTATGAAGTGTCAGTTTTCTCTTGCACAAACCACCCTCCGGCAAAAAAAGATAGGCAAATTCCCAAATTCTTAAACGCTTGGCAATGCATTTGCTTATTTGCAATACAATTATCCCTTTTTTCAAATGACAATAAACCTGTTAACTGTGCTACTAGCTCTTCTTGAATTATTTTGCATATATTCTTGATTGTACAAATTGGAAAACTATGGTTGATAATTAGTGTTGTGTGGGGGTCTTAACAAAGTTATCTGGCTTGGCTCTCAAGTTAATAAACTTGAGCTTAAAATTTATTGAATGTTATATACTATTAAGATCACTGTGCAGCTTATTGGAAAAAAGTATCTACACAATTGCTTGGAACCGGGCTGTGCTTAAATTCAAAGCATTTGTGCTTGTGCAAAAATTTTGGTTCAGCTAAAATATTGTAAATTATGTTTTTTTAAAGCTAAACTCTAGCATTGTTCAACCATGTATATTAATAAATAGTCAATGAGTCTTGATAACTTGGTTTTGGAATCCTCGAATGAGGATTGATATCATTTGGATGGCCAAAATTGATGGGAATCCTTTTTGAGGAGTTTTGAGATGCCCATGACTGAAATTTTATATAAAATTCATCTGTCCTTTGATGGTTTTTACAGCATTTTGTTGTTAGAAACATCATATTCTAAACCATGCTCAAATCATTTAGGCAAGTTTGTCTCTGAGAATATTTTCAGTGAGCTTCATAATCATATTTATGTGTTAGGAAATTTAGGACTATTGAATTAATTACCAACAATTCTGTTGAGAAACATACTTCTTCATAAAAACATAAAATGAAGACTCAAAATAACTTGAAACTTGATTACATAAGGTAGGCTTGTGTGAAATTGCTAATTTGACCTTATTCTTCTTGGCATGCTATGCATCAATTCAGAATGTTTTTTTGAGATTGGTCTATAGGCTGAATTAGCTGATAATACATCAAGAAAATTACAAGACACTGCATCATTTTGATATAGAACTAGTATGCAACAGATAACTGTCAAGTGATCCTTGCTGCAAAACATTGCAGAGTGTATGTGTGTCTCTTTCTATGTCTATGTAGAGAGAAAGATGGAGGACTGATTGGCGGATAGACAGATGAATGCTACAAGTTTATGAATAATAACTAGTGAGCTGTATGCAATTCAAAAAGTGTGGATGCTGCTGTTGCTGTTATGATGAATTATTCTACAGCAGGTTATAAGCATAGACTTAGAATTTCTCTCTAGTCGAGCTATCCACTGGAGTATGGTAACTTGACTAATTGGCTATGCCGATTCAAACAAGATTTGATCATTTTTAGATGATCTCACTGTACTTGACCCATTGCTTGATTGATTTTGGATCTTACAAATTTACGTGTAAAGTCAATTGACTAATTGACAGATAGGAGATGTAGGAGTTAAAAAAAGATACGAATTTATTTTATTTAACTGAGCAATAGCAAAATGGTGGGGAAAAAAAAATTTCATATAGCCAACTAGGACAAGCCTAGTTTGGTTTTAGTGCGACACGAGGTTTACTTTAGTTTGGTATAAATATGCATCACAATTTAACTGTATTATGCAACATACAATGCACTATCACATATATGTAACACCATTGACACACACAAGTGGGACAAGTACATAGTGTGGATTTAAATTTTATATCCTTATTATATAGTTAAAGTCACACGCTATCCTGTACTGTAAGATTTAGGTCCTTATGATTTCAATTTAGTCATGAAAGTAAAGGTAGTACTTTGGATGAAATCTCATCCTCGTTCGTTCGTCCAACAAACTTTGCCAATCCAAAATCTACAACCTGTAAAAAACATTGAATCAATTTAGGAAATCCAAAAAACTGTTTTTGATCATCTTAGGTAGTAAAACAAATAAAATATTAAGTTTTCATTCTTTTCCTTGTTCTATGCTAGCAGATGCATTGGGATAAAGGATTAAATGAGATAATTACAATGAAAAAATAGAAACTTTTATGCACATTATGTCCAGGTGTTGTTGTTTATGTAGAACAAGTATAGAGTAATGGATAGAGTATCATAATGAATTGGGTCAGATTTCGGATTAAGCCAAGTAAACCAAATTTAGATTCGGATTATGCTAAAACCAGTCTGAATTCAATCTGTTGAGAGGCCTACGCTAAATAAATACCTTTTGAGTAATAGATCATGAAGGTGATCACTGACAGATCCATTTTGAAGGTGATCGCCTATAAGATAATTGTGTTCCCTTTTTTCATGCGTATTGCTATTGTTCATAAACCTATTCATCTGTTGATTCAAATGATTAATATCTTGCTTGAATGTGCTTTCTTGTGCAAGTCTAAGACACGGACAGAGAGACCCATTTATTGCTATCCATCTTTGCTGGTTTTTGACTTTCATCTTGTTGCATTGTTAGCTTTGCCAATGAGCTACTAGTTGTTTTTGTTCTTTTCTATATCATGTGTATAGTAAATTGGGAATTGCCTGAAACAACAAAATGACCAAACTGGTGAGGTTGAATTTCCATAAATTTCCATTGTAGTAGTAGTTTTTTTTTTTTTTGTTGTTGTTGGAGTGTCAGTTAACTTATGTTGCATTCGGTGGGTTTGGGTGCCAAAACTTTGAATGAGTGCAAAGCATTCAAACACAATTCTGAAATCTCCTTTTGGGGAGTGATTGTAGATGCATGTGATAGATTAAAACTAAATTTATGAATAGTTTGATTCAAGAAATATGCATCAACAGTTAATCATACAAAATGCATCAGCCAATACTTAGTGTGCTTCCCTCAGTAACTTTATATAGACTGAAGTGTGCTGCATGCACTGTGGTAGAGCACGAGTATTAATCTTTAGGTTGAAAAAAAGAACTAGGAATATGTACAAATTTATAGAGATATTGCTTGTAATTTGTTCATATATGCCAAGTTTAACTAGTGAATCATGTGTTACTTTTTGATTTTGGTATATTGAAATTTTGTAATTCACCGTAGGAAAATTTGCTCTCAATTTGTTCATCTATAATGTGAAACCAATGTTTTTAGATCAAGACCTTTATTATTAACATTTTAACATTATAATTTTTTTTTTCATATGTTTTACAGATTGGCAATGGATGGAATATAGTTCGGGGAGCATCAAAGGATTACATTTTGAATTTTTGGATATATTTTGTCATAGGTTTTTGTTATGAATTTGCAAGTTTTGAAGGTTTTTTGGAATTACATGTTTGAAGTTTTTTTCACATGTTTGACAGATTGGCAATGGATGGAATATAGTTCGGGGGAGCATCAAAGGATTACATTTTGAATTTTTAGATATATTTTGTCATAGGTTTTTGTTATGAATTTGCAAGCTTGGAAGGTTTTTTGGAATTACATGTTTGAAGTTCATAAATTTGCAAGCTTAGAAGGTTTTTGGGCATTACATGTTTCAAGTTTGGGATTGTAAGAGATTTATATTTAAATTGGATGTTTTGGATTTGATATGTTGCTTATATTTAATATGGTATTACTTTTGAATTAAGTTTATATTTTGGATGCTTTGCACAAGTGTGTTAATTTGAATTATATTTTGCTTATGTTTATAGGTTTATGAATTATGTATTGAACAGGGAAATTGTTAAAAAAAATTATAAATAATGAATTTTTGGTGACAGGTTTTTTTAGTTGTAAATTTACTTTTGGTGACATTTTATTTATGTTGCTGAAAGTATGTGTCAATTTTTTTCCAAAATTTTTAACATTCAACAACCAATTTTTTTAGTCACTGAAAGATATTTTTAGCGACGCATTTATATGTCGTTGAAACTTAACATGTCATCAGCTGAAGGCTACTTTTAGTGACTAAATGTTAATTTATGGCGACGAAATTTTAGTCTTTTGGCGACGGAAATATTTGGTCGCCAATTTATTTATAAAGGCAACCAAAATTGATTTGGTCGCTGAAGCACTTAGTGACAGGGCTTCAGCGACCAATTTTGTTCATGTCGCGGATACTTTTAGCAACCAAAATTACACTTTTGGTAACTAAAAAATAGGTCGCTAAAAGTGTTTTTTGTTGTAGTGATAAATCAAGTTATGCGTACCAGAGATGCAAACATGGAACAATGTTAGGAGTAGAGGATGGTCGAGGCGTTGCGGAAGCAGTGTTGGCCTGGATCGATCATCCGATCTTGTGCAATCTTCTTCCCCTCTTCCATTCTTCTTCGTCGCCGTCTGCTTTGTGTGTGAAGAAAATGGAACCCTAGCATCCACACAGAGATGTGTATTGGTGTATATGGGGTAGTTTGGTAATTGTCCATCCTCCTCACGTGCTTCACATCTCACGTGTATCATTTTTGGTAGTTTGTGATTTTGTAGCCAAATTTGTCCGTATGTAATTTTTTAGCCTGAAAACGATTGCCAAACTGGGGCTAAAAATCATTTTTTTAGTTTTTTGGTTTTTGTAAGTTATATCATCTCTCTATTTTTTTATACATTTTTTAAAGAAAAGTAAAAAAGTTAGCTTTTAACCAACTTCCCAAAACATCCATTCGTTTATGTGGGAAACAAGGGTTGACACAAAGTGGAATTCACTGTATTTGGTTTTAATTTTTTTAGATTCAATTTTTTAGAAATTGAGTTTTTTTATTTTTTTTATTTTTACTGAATATTTTTTAAATTTTAAGTAATTTTTTTTTTACTTTTTTAGATGCACCTTACTTAAATGCATCTAAAACTGAAATATTTGTAAAAAAAATATTTTAAAAAATTAATAAATATACAAAAATATGAAAAATGTATTAAATTTTTATAATTTTTTTTTGTATTTTTGGTATTTAGTGAATTTTTTAAAGATTTTTTTTTCACAAATATTATACTTTTTAAGTATATTTATGTTATGTGTATTTAAAAATGAAAAAATTCAGTAAAAACAAAAAAAAAGTATGAAAAATAAGAAAGTAGAATGGAGATAAA